AGTTTAATAAATATTTCCATAATATAAATATTATTGTCAAATTTTGATTATACGGGAGAGAAAAAGATTTTTCAGCTTAAATTTAAAAAGATGCAAAAAAGTAGGTAAATCATAATTAAAATTAGGCAAAACAATTTTGTTCCAGAGATGGGGTGCACGATAATCAATGCAAAATTGGTTAAAACTTGTTCGACAAAAAGCTCATATAGAAGGTTGTTATTTCTAAGAGAGTATTTATTGGTAGGTTTTAAGGTAGTTAAATCTTTAAAACCGGCAGGAGAAAGATTGTTTTTACATATATATACAAAGCATAAAATATTAAAAATACTAATTTCGTAAGTATTATTTATTTTCATTTTATAAAAAAGTCGTTTGGAGTGAGAAAAATGATCATCAAAATTAATTACACGTATTGCATGTTTCTGACAGCGATGGAGAGAAAAAGTAATTTACTTTTTTCATTGCTTGCCCAAGCAGTATTTGCATCATTCATATAGCTATGAATGAATGCAAAATAAAGTTGGGATCAAACTTTTTTATTTATATAGATTCTGGCCTTATAAAGAATTCCAATAACTTTTGAAACTAACCAAAATAAATACCAAAATAATCAATATATTACTTCCATGTGATGTTCTCATCAAGGAATATGCCTAAAAATTTTGTGATGCAATTTCTTTTTATTTCAATTTGGTCAATAAAAACATCAGGTAGAGTTGGGGTAAATAACGTGTTTTAGTTTTCGAATGAAAAAGAATCCATTTTGTTTTTTTAATATTTAGGGTAAGTTTGTTGGATTTGAACCAGCTAGAAATTATTTTGAGTTCTCCATTCATAGTAGTGAAGAGTTTATTAATACTGTTATCAGATAAAAATAAATAGTATAGTAGTATCATCCGCAAACATAATACTTAAAAGATTAGAAGCTTTATGCAATTCATTAATGTATATCACAAAAAGAAGTGGCCCTAAAATTGAATCTTGCGAATTGCCACTTGAAATATCGAAAACATTTTTTTGATAAGGATTGTTAAAAGAAACGAATTGTTTTCGGTTTGTTATATAACTTTTAAACCATTTCAAAATTACACCATCCATTCCATAATATTCAAGTTTATGAATTAAAATGCCATGATTTACTGTATCAAATGCTTTTGATAAATTTAAAAACATACCTAAATGAAATTGTGAATTTTTGAAAGAGTTAGAGATTTCACGGACGAATTGAATGATTGCATGCTCAGTATAACTATTTTTTTTTAAACCAAACTGATTTTTATTAAGAAAATTCTTTTTCTTAAAATAAGTATATAATCTATTGTAAATAATTTTTTCTAAGATATTTAAAATTTTTGAAAATTGTATAGAAATAGGTTGGTAGTTAGATATATACCTTCTTTGTTTATTGGCATTATTTTAGCTATTTTTAACTTATCAGAAAAAACTCTTTGTTGAATTGACGCTCTGAAAACTTTAAAGAGAATATCTTTTATTTCTTCAAAGCATTCAAAGGCTATGTTTCAATTTATTTCATCATCTCCGGGATGCAACAGGCTCAATGATTCTGGGTGCAATTTATCACAATTAGGTCGCTCAATGCGACATTGTGTAAATTCTACAGATGTACCAGATAACGAACTTAAATTATTATTTTCTTCTAATAAAATTATTATAAGTGACGATTTACCTCCGTCTATACACATCTTTCCATTGTTACATTTGAATAATACTTCTAACCAAGTTAATGACTATGTTTCTTCTCGTGTTATAGATTCCGTTGAAAAAATTTATGCATCACAAGACATAACTTGTAAATATTATGACATAGACAAATTTTGTTCCCTGAAGTTTGACAAAATAAACTCACTTTCTTTTTATCACCTAAATATTTTATCGCTTCAAAAACACTTTGAAGATTTAAACATATTTTTATCATTAATTAATTTTGAGTTTTCTATTATTGTTGTTACTGGAACACTTTTAAAAAAAAAATTCACTCAATTCATCAGATTCTCATTGATAACAACAACATTGAAAATACATAAACTAAATCTTCCTGTGGGGGGACATTGTTGTACTTGTCAAAAAAGCTAATATACAAATAAAGAGATGATTTGATGATTTATTCACCTAATTTTTTAGAATCCAATTTTGCTGAATTAATTTTTTACCAAAAAATTCAATATTATTGTTGGGTGCATTTATAGACATCCGTACATGGACATAAATCTTTTCAATAATTTAATGTCTGCATTACTTCTAAAAATACCTGCAAAAAATAAGTCTGTTTTCTTATTCTATGATTTTAGTATAGATTTGATACAATCAAGCAGTGACATTTCGACCTGTGATTTTTTAGACTTACTTTCTTTTTATAATATTCGCCGTTTTATTACTTTGCCAACAAGAATTACTGAACACTCTGCTACAATCATTGAAATTTATTTTTCTAATTTAATAACTAATGATACTATTTCTGGAAGTTTGACAACTTCTGTCT